TGCCTGTCGTTCCAGTTATTTGGAAGACTGAGGTGGAAGGATCACCTGAGCTCAGCAGGTCGAGGCTGTGGTGAGCATGCCACTGCACTCCAGCCTGGGTAACAGAGTGAGATTCCAAATCAAAAAAAGAAAAGAAGAAGAAAAGAAGAGAAATGATAGGAGGAAACATGGAGTGAAATGATAGATTGAGGCTCCTGGGGAGCGATGGTCATGAGATGTTTAGAATCCTGAGGAGTGCAGAGGTGGTGGGAACCACAGTGACATTTGCTGAATGTAAAGAGAACAAGGAATCAAGAATAACTCTGAGGTTTCTTTCCAGAACAACTGAAAAATTGGCAGGTCGCTCTCTGAGCAACTTTGGGATAAGAAGGGAAATGAGGAGTTTGGTCCATAGCAGGAGATCTAGACATGTCAAGCATCAGTTGGAGAATCAAGCAGGCAATTGTTCACAAAAGTTTAGATAGATCATAGCTGAAGATCCATATTTAAGAGGTGTTGGTGGGATTTAAAGTTATGGGGCTGGCTGAGCTCTGATGTCAGGGGTCTCTAAGACCACCTCATGCTCAATGACTTGCTAGAAGAATTCACAGGATCCAGTTGCTATAATCATGGTTAGAGTTTATCATAGCAGAAGGCCAGACAGTACAATCAGCACGGGGTGCAAGGGGTGATGTCCAGAGGACGCCAGGTACAAGCTTTCACGTGTTCTTTCTCAGTGAAGTCATATGGTATATTAGTTCATTTTCTGTTGCTTATAACAGAATGTCTGAAACTGGGTAATTTATAAAGAAAATATATTTATTTCTTATGGTTATGAGGGCTGAGAAGTCCACATTTGAGGGCTTGCATCTGCTAAGACCCTTCTTGCCGTTGAGGACTCTGCAGAGTCCTGAGGTAGCACAGGGAACCACATAATGAGGAGACTGTGTGTACTCACATGCTAGCTCAGGTCTCTCTTCCTCTTCTTATAAAGCTACCAGTTCCCCTTCCATGATAACCCATTAATCCATTAAGCCATGAATGGATTCATGTGGGCAGAGCCCTTACACTCAAATCACTCCTAGAAGCCCTGCCTCTCAATACTGCCATATTGGAGATTAAGTTTCAACATTTTTTGAATGTTTTGGGGGAGAGAAATGTTTTCAAACCACAGCACATGGGAATTTCCCCAGCAACTATGTGTGACAACATGCGTGAAGCACTGCCAACCAGGGAAGCTCACCTGAACCTGGATGTCCAGGGTTTTTATAGAGGGTCAGTCACATAGACAGCTTCAGACCCCCAGAAGGAAAGCAAGCGTACATCATGAATCGCATTGTTTGTATAAACTACCTACACAAACTGGTGCAGCATGGCCCAGGGCCTCAGGTATGCAAAAACACTCTTACCTGACAGAATATTACAAGAGTTCAGTTCCCAGAGTTGGCCAAAGGCTAGTCATGAAAGCAAACCATTTTTGGGAATGTATAGGGTTTGAGCAATGTCAGCTTATTACATCAACCCCCAAGAGAGTGAATGGAGAAGCCAGGCTCGGTGGCTCAGTCTGTAATCCTGCGCTTTTGGAGGCCAAGGTGAGTGGATTGCCTGAGCCTGCAGGTTCGAGACCTGCCTGGGCAACTTGGCGAGACCTCGTGTCTACAATAAATCAAAAAATTAGCCGGGCGTGGTAGCACACGCCTGTAGTTCCAGCTACTGGAAGGCTGAGGTGGAAGGATCGCCGGAGCCCAGCAGGTCGAGGCTGCGGTGACTGGGAGCGGCCACTGCACTCCAGTCTAGGTGACAGAGTGAGACTCCAACTCAAAAAAAAAAAAAAGAGTGAATGGAGATAGGAAAGAGGAGGGGCTGATGGTTGAACCCTGGATCCCTCTAATGTTTATAGGAGAGATCGAGCAAAGAAGACAGAAAAGGAATGATAAACAAGATAGGAGGAAAATCAAGAAAATAAAATCCTGGAAACTAAGAAAGAAACTCTAATGATGATGATAATAACCAGATTTTACAAAATTAATCATTAGATATGATACAGAAAACTAATGTTAAGATCTTAAGTGCGGGCTGGGTGCCTTGACTTATGCCTATAATCCCAGCACTTTGGGAGGCCAAGGCTTAGCACTTTGGAAGCTGAGCCCAGGGGTTCAAGACCAGCCTGGACAACTTGGCGAGACCTCATCCCTACAATAAATCAAGAAAAAAAGAAAAATTAGCCGGGCCTGGTGGTGTATGCCTGTAGTTCCCGCTACTTAGAAGGCTGAGGCGGAAGGATCACTTGAGCCCAGCAGGTTGACACTGGGGTAGCCATGAGGGTGCCACTGCACTTCAACCTGGGCAACAGAGTGAGACTCCGACTCAAAAAAAAAAGTCTTAAGTGCTACACTTAATACCAGAAACAGAAACACCATCCAATTTGAACCCTGGAAACTTCCCTCTTCCCTGCCAAGAAATGTCCCCTTCCCCCAGTATCCTAGAGACATATCACATTCTCCCTCCTCCTTCTAGTGACTCTTGCCCTTGTCTTCCAGTATTTATAGTAAATGGAGTCACAATCTTCTCGCCCTTCAGTGGATGTTGGTCCCTTACCCCACTCCTGGCCAGTAGGACCTCATATGAAACTTGGGTCTCAGCCAATTCCCAAACAGCTGATAGAGAAATCTCTGGGTTAGATGAACATCTTTCTAGAATGGGTTCCTGTCCTCAGTGGAAGCTGTTTTAAAGTACATCTAATATTCAGATTAAGCCAGAAAAATTTAGGGGCTCCTGGAAATAAACATTGCCACCTTCTTCGTTCTGAAAGAAAACACAAACAAACAAAAGAAAAAGACGGTTTTAAATTATATAGTATTAGGCCAGGCGTGGTGGCCCATGCCTATAATCCCAGCATTTTGGGAGGTCAAGGTGGGAGGACTACTTGAGCCCAGGAGTTTGAGACCAGCCTAGGCAACGTACTGAGACCTTATCTCTACAAAAAAGTCAAAAAATTGGCTGGGCTTGGTGGTGTGCACCTGTATTCCCAGCTACTTGGGAGACTGAGGTGGAAAGATCGCTGCCTGAGCCCAGGAGGTTGAGGCTGCAGTGAGCCATGATTATGCTGCTGTATAGTTTGGATGACAGAGTGAGACCTCGACTTAAAAATATAAATAAACAAATAACTTATATAGTCTTAATGCTTTATTGTCTGAATATCTTAAAGTAAAAATTAACAATAAAAACAAGTGAAGAGGAAAAAAAGATGAGCTAATACTCAAAGTATCCCATTGTGATTTTGTCATATTTGCACTTGTAGATCAGTCTGCAAGGTTTGATATCTTTACAACATAGCCAGCAGCATGGCATTTCTGTTTGTTTTTTCTCTCTCTCAGTAAGGTTTTGAGGGTTTCTTTGTATGTCTTATATTTATCTTGTGAAATTTATTTGTAAGGCTTTTCCCTGCTTGTTTTGTAAATAAATATGGACTTTTTCTGTCTTGTTTGCAAACTTACTATTGCTTGTACAGAGGAAAGATATTGATGAGAAAGATATTGATAAGGAACAATGTAATGTAAAATGGATTTGAGACTTCTTGGTTTCAAATTACAGATCTGCCATAACAATACAAACTAGAATAAGTTACTTAACATCTCTGGGCTTCAGTTTCATGTTCTGTAAAAGGTAAATAAAGTGTCACCTCATAAGAGTTGCTGTGAGGACTAATTGAGAAACACATACATATAGGCCTTACAACAGTGCCTAGCACAGAGTGTATGTAAAAGTGTATTATTATTTGTTTTCTATTCAATGACTTTCTAAACTTCCCTTGATGTCAGTTCATTTGAGTTAACTCTCTTGGGTCTTTTGGTAATAACATCTGCTGATACAAGTTAGTTTTGTCTTTTCTGTACTCCATGGTTATAACATATCTATTTTCTATTGAAGTTTTATCTTTTAAAACCAATTCCTTTTAGATACATACTGAAATATTTACAGAAAAATGAGAGAATCTCTAGGATTTGCTTCAAAATTGCTTGAGATGAGGAGAGTGGCAAGTATAACACAGGTGGGAATAGAGACGAAACACGGCCAAGTTGAAAATTATTTAAGTTGGATGATATAGGCCATGAGGCTTCATCACATGAGTCCCTAATTTTGTTTTGAAACTTACACAACAAAAAGTTAAAAAAAAAAAAGCTCCCTACTTCAAGAACAACCCCTCAAACATTAGAGATATGCCTGTTAAAAGGAGAACACAAACAAGAATGCTACTTTTCCTAATACTGTTTTGAAAATGGTAGTCAACACAATTCCACACGAAAAGGACTATCTAGTCAAAAGTACTGGTAGGGAGGCTGAGCCTGGTAGTGCACGCCTACAGTTCCAGCTACTTTGAGGCTGAGGTGGGATGATGGCTTGAGCCCAGGGAGTTCAAGTCCAGCCCGGGCAACATAGTTAGACTCTGTCTCTAAACATTAAAAAAAAAAAATTACTGGTAAGGGAAAGATGAGATTATCTCTATATGACTGTCTCATTAGAAAGGCCAAGAAAATCAACTGTAAGAATAACATTTCTGTAAGTTAATCAGACACAAAACAAATATTTTTTAAAAAACAACCACAATAACGAATGATATTTTGGGGGTAGAGATTACATTTCAAATAGCAATAATTTGTTGTTGTTGTCATCAAAGGTCAGAATTCAAGTGGGAAAAAACTAAAGGAGTGCTTTGACAAGCCTTAAAAAACAAAAACCATATTTTTTGTACTACAGGGCTCCAATTTTCAGCTTCCTCCCAGGTGGGGTGGAAATTAACATCACTCTTGTAGGGTGACTGGACTGGTTCACAGATATTAAAGTGCTTAACAGGGAGCTAGGAACGTTTGTTTCATCGACATACATTTATTGAACATCTATTATGTGCCAGGTATCAGCTAATATGCTGGGGATACGGCAGTGATCCACACAGATACAAATGCTTTTCCTTATGGAATTGACAGTCTAGTGAAGGCAGACAGACAACAGACCAAAGAAATATCTTAACTATATAGTGTGCTAGATGGCAAAAAGTTCTCTTGAGAAAAAAAAGAAAATGATGGAAGAAGCAGGAAGCCGGTGAGGAAGGAAGGGTCTGTTTGCAAGTTTACAATGGGAGGGGCAGCAGCGCAGACCAGAAAGGTGAGAGCCAAGTGAATCCCTCAGAGGAAGAGCCTGCCATGTAGCAGAACAGCATATGCAAAGGCCCTGTGGCAGGAGCCTGCTGGATCTGTCGGAGAATGGAGAAAAATGTGTCAGATGGGCAGGAGATGGGAGTCAAGAGAAGGGGAGAGGCAAGTGTCTCTTATAGACAGAGAAATAATCCCATTTAAAAAGCAACAAAAGGATGCTATTTTGCTATTATTAATTACAGAAACACATCAGGTTCCTGAGGGGTTTGGTAGGGGCCGACTGCAAAACGGGGATGTCGCAACTGTCGCACCGGTTTCGGGGTGACTCGGGGAGACAGACGGCGGCGGGCAGCGTCCGACAGTCGCCCAGGAGGCGTCCCCGCCGTTTCCACTGGATTCCGCCGGCAGGGGGACTCCCTGGCGTTAAGCCTTTCCCAGGGCCACGCCCCACGCATAGCTGCCCTGGCATCGGCCTCCCGCCCCCACTCCTCGTTTCAGTGTCCCCCAAAGCCGGGACACCCGTATTCGCAGCCCCCCGCCAGCACCCAGACCTCGACGCCCACTTCGGTCTGGCCGCGTCCCAGCCACTCTCCCCGGAGGAGCTGGAGCTCCGCCCACTCCCCGCCCGCGTCGCCGAGGCTTCTGGGAATTGTAGTTCCGTACGCTGAGCCCACGCACACTTCCGGGTTCGCCTAGAAGCGCGGCCATTGTCCCGCGGGCGGATGCTTGCTGTCGCCCCGCAACTCGGCCCTTCGGAGTTATCCCCGGGCGGCCTGGCGGATGCCGACTGGGGGATGGAGCCGAACTAGCCTAGCCTGAATCGGTCGTGTTGCAGAATCGGAGCAGGGCGTGGCTTAACCCGAGTTCGTCCTGCCGCAGAGCCGTGACGTGCCCTGAGGCGGTGACAGGCCCAGCCTGGGCTGCGGGGCCCGCGGACGCCCAGGTTGGTGGGGGGTGGGGGGGGCGAGGCAGCGCTTGGTGTCCGAGGCGCGCATGCGCAGGGTCTAGGCGGGAAGCTGGAAGCCCGGGTGAGCATGGGTGGGCCACCCGGCCACGGCGCCAGCGGCGCTTTGGCGTCGGGTCGCCGAGGTTGATTGGAGAGACTAAGGTGGCAGCTTGGTCCGCGACTGTGCTCTGCGCGCATGCGCGGGTGCTTGGTCAGGGGGTCGTGTCTGGGGCCTGAGGATGCTCGGTTTTGTGGAAGACGGGGCACATGATATGATTGGGGTCGTGGGGGAGAATCCTGAGACTCCCTCTCCACCCAGTGCCAGGCCTGTTTAGTGGAGGACCCGAAGCCGTCCAGCTTGATGGAGCGCTCGATTGCAGATTGTGTTTCTGGAGGAGTGAGGCTGTGCCACTGTCTCTGTACGGTTGAGCAGGCGTTTGGGTAGTAAGCAGGAGGAGGGAGGTGAGATTCCGGGCAAGTGGCTTTGGGACCCTGGAGCAGACAATGCTCATCTGGAAGGCCTGGGGATGTTCTGGTTTGTAGAAAAGGTTGGTGTTGCAGATTCTTGCCCCAGGAGAGGCAGTGTGGATTCAGCAAATCAGGTGGGAATCACTGATAGACCGCAAACTCCCAAACTGAATGGAGGGTACCAGGGCCTAGAGTCAGGTTCTAGGCAGAGGGCTCTCGCACAGAGTGCTGGAGGTGTCTGAACGGGAAACAGGAACTTGGACCGATAATCATGGGACTCATGAAGGATAGTGCAGAGCTCTACGGCATTCAATTTTGGTGGCCACTGAGTTGGAGGTGTGAAATCTGAGTTTAGGAAGGACAGAGCTGCAAAAGCTGCCATCAGATTGATAGCTGTGTGGGGAGGAAGCAGGATGCCACCAGCATCATTGGGAAGCAGATGTTCCGGGACCTTTTCTTGGACTACTCAGCATGCAGGCCCAGGTTGGTAGAGTCTGGGATGCAGATCTGTGTCTGGAAGGAGTTGACTGCATGACACCCAGGCCTTCGTGTCTGGGCAGAAGAAAACCGAAAGGCCCAGTTCTCAGGGAGCTGTTCTATTACGGACTTGAGAACCCTCAGGCTGGTGAGTGCCCACACCCTGGGACTGATTCTGGAGCTCTGTGCTCAGGCTGCTGTTCAGGTGTTCTGGCTGCAGGGAAGTTGTGGGACAGGTGACCCTGTAATCTGTGCAGAGGCTGTGGGTGCTTGAGTATCCCAGGTAGGTTGAGGTGCAGAGTGAGGACTGTAGAGCCATGTCTCAGGAGCAGGGACTGCATAAGACCTCCAGACTGGTGGAGGGCCCAGGTCCTGGATGCAGATTTTGAGCATGAACCTGCTCTGTGACCGTGTCAGTGGGACGAGGGAGCATGGGTGAGTGGCCCCTGTGCAGTGGCTGCTGGAGAAGAGGCCTGGTGACTCCAGTTTGGGTCTGCAGGCTCTGGTCTTAGGAGGCATGGGGCTTCTCCAGCTGCACTGTACATGCACTGACGTTTGGGCATAACGGAAAGGCATGGGCAGTCCTAGGACCCTGGCGCTGCCTGAGGATGCCCAGGTGTGTGGAGAGAGTGGCTGTAAAGGGGTGAGGCTGTGCCAGGCACCCTTTGTGCATATGCACAGGTATTTGATTGGGAAACAGGAGGCTGGAGATGAGTTTTAGACAGAGGCTGCGGGGTCTTTGTGCAAATGGTACCCTGATCATAGCCCAGTGAGGCTCAGGTTGGTGGAAAAATAGGATCTCTTGAGCTGCAGATGCCCAGAAAGGTGTGTGGGCAGGAATCTGGACAGGTACAGTTCAAGTAGGGGACTGTGGAGGTTGAGAGAGGAAACTGAGTTTTGGTGCAGGTTCAGGATACAGCTGCCTTGTGAGGCCACGCTATGCTGTTTGAGTGAGACTCTACTGGGGCAGGACAGGGCGGTAGGTAAGAGGGAGAGATCAAGCGCAGAGGGCAGGGGGCATAGGGTGAGATTTGATAGGGGCTGCTCTAGTCTCTGACCCAAAAGCATCCATTTGGTACAAAGAGAACTGAGTTTCACATTCTGGGCCTCAGAGGGATGCTTCTGGCTTGCACTGGTGTCTTTTGGAGGCCCCCAGTCCTGTGCAGGCTGTCTTGCAATTTTAGGACCAAGGACACCCAAGTTGCTGTAGGAACTAGATTGGAGCTACAAATTCAGTGCCCAGGAAGCTGTTGGGTTGGGAATCTTGGCTGGTGTTGTTTGGTAGAGGCCAGTGGACCCAGAGCAGTGGAGGGACCAGGATCTAGGTACTTCTGAGCTCTGGGCATGTGCTTGGCTATCTGAGCAGGAAGTGGGAGGCCCCCTGCAATGAGTTGCTGGAGGGACAGGCCTGGCTATTGGAGGATAGGATTGGTCTTGGTTGCTGAATCAGTTCTTCTGAGGGTGGAACATTGTCACGATCATGCATTTAGGCAGTAAGTGTGATTATGGACTATCAATCTGAGAGCCTTACTGCTGACCCTAGAAAAAAGTGCTAGTTTAGGACTGCAGATTCAGATTGAGAGAATGAGGAGGGTTACACACTAGGGGGTCCTTGGGTGTTTATGGGGATTCAGTAGAATAGGGGAATGACAGGTTGGCACTGCAGATTTTGGTGGTGGGCAGAAGGCTATGTTTGGACATAAGAAGGGCTTACAGGTAGGTGGTCCAGAGGCCCAAGACAGGGGAGGAACCAGGTTGGAGCTGCAAAGGCTTGGCAGGGAAGAAGGACTGAGGGATTCTCTGCGTCACGAGTGCTTGGGCAGGAAGCTGGTCAGAACCTCCAGAAGCACATTTGCCATGGGGGATGCATCTTGCATCCTGGGAATAGGGACTAATGGGGGTGGCACACAGCAGTACTGGCAGACCTGCATGAGGATGCTGTACTCAGGGATTCTCCTCTCAGTGCAGCTCAGGACTTAGCACTCTGCTGTGCCTGCAGGAGAGCATGGAAGAGCAGGATGAGAAGCCCCCAGGATCCCCGAAGACCTGCCCGCAGGTGAGTGGAGCCATCCTTCCTGGAGACACCTAGAGCTTGCTCCCACCCAAGCCTCTGGGCTTGGACGGCTGTGGTTCTTTTAGCTCTCTTTGCAGCCTTTTAAGAGCTCTTGGTCCCTCACCCAGAAGGTTTCAAATACTTACACACTGAACTTCCTGCTAGTTACCTCACCTTTTTAGCCAGATAACTCTGGAGGAATTTGGCATCCTGAGTCAAAAGCCCTTAGAATACTGATTCCTAGCTGGGCTTGGTGGCTCAGCCTGTAATCCTGCACTTTGGGAGGCTGAAGTGAGTGGATTGACTGAGCCCGCGGGTTCGAGACCTGCCTGGGCAACTTGGTGAGACCTCATCTCTACAAAAAATCAGCCGGGCGTGGTAGCGCATGCCTGTAATTCCGGTTACTTGGAAGGCTGAGGCGGAAGGATCGCCAGATTCCAGCAGGTTGAGGCTGTGGTGACCGGGAGCGGCCACTGCACTCCAGTATGGGCGACAGAGTGAGACTCCAACTCAGAAAAAAAAAAAAATACTGATTCCTTTCTGGCCAGAAGTGCACGGCTTTGTTTGAGAATAAACAATTGGAAATATCCTAAATGTACAATACAAGAGAAGAGTTAAATGGATTATGGTACGACCATGAAATGGAACATACTGTAGCCATTGTCATGATATGATAATATATACTTACTGGCAGAATAAGATCTTTATGACTATTTAAGTAAATAGCATTTAGGATACGTCACCCTTTTTTTTTTTTTTTTTTTTTGAGTTGGGGTCTCACTCTGTCGCCCAGACTGGAGTGCAGTGGCCGCTCCCGGCCACCGCAGCCTCGACCTGCTGGACTCCGCCATCCTT